CTCATCACCAAGAAGTAAAGTTAGGGAATCCTTCAGACAGACAGTTGAATGACAAATATTTATCCAGTGCTTCCTCTGTGCCAGGAAAAGGGGATAGAGTGATCAATATGACAGACACAGTCCTAGCCCTTGGGGCTCTGATATAGTGTGAAAAAGTAACATGAAACAAATAACTTTAATTGCATTCACATTAAAAGTCTATGTAATCCATATGTTAGCTGCTTCTACGCACAGAGCAAAGACAAATGGTTCTTCTCATTCACTCTTAGGAAGTCACTTGCCCACGGCATATACTTTACTGAAAAAGATAAGAGGGGTTTTATCTCACAGGAAACACCCTTTCACTCTAAACCTCCTTACTCGATACATCTTCCCAAGTCTCTCGTGGCCACACAGCCACAACTCTTCTCTCTCTTTGATCCTTCTCCCACAGAACCTCTAAGCCTCTCTACCTCCAGTCCCCCATTTCCAGATCTCTCTCTGAGACTCTTAATTCCCTCCCTCCTTTCCTAGGTAGAACAAATTAATTCTGTCTCAACTGTTTCCAAATTGCATAGCTATAGTTAAAAACTAAGCAAGCAGGATACCCACCAATTACCAGGGATTTCTCTCATAGAAAAGCAAAGGAATAGTTAAACAATAATTTTTATTTTTCTTATGTACCTAAATGCCCTCACCTCACTTGCTGCAGTGTCTCTAGCTCTTTGCAAAATCCTCCCTGTTAGTCTGGAAGTTCTCAAGCATGTGCTCATGAAGTGCTGTCAGTTATCAGGTGATATCCTCCTTCTTCTTTGTGTGTGTGTGTGTGTGTGTGTGTGTGTGTGTGTGTGTGTGTGTGTTTGTGTGTGTTGTTTTAGCCTTCTGTGTTATTTCCATCTGTTTTGGATACCTTTCTGTCCTACATAGCTGAGTGAAGGGGTCCTGGATCTGCTTCCAGGGACTACAGCCAAGTGCCCTCCTTTTAGATAGAGCTGCCACTTCCATAGCCCTCATGATAGTCTTGATCCCCAAAAGTGCCAGAGCAGAGTCGCGTAATATGGTACCCGCAATATACTGAAACACATTGGGTTCATTATAGAGATAGCAGAATACTTTCCCATTCCTTTTGCTCTTATAAGTAGTTGTATGAATACCAGAGGAATACTTTTTTGTCTCATTGCCTGATGGAGTTTTTGAGAAATAAACTTTATTTTATTTTGTAGACTTTAATTTTATTTTAGAGCAGGGATGATAATCAAGATATCTGACAGGCAATGTGACATAAGACTGATCATTTATGTTTCTAAAGTTTAACCTGATCAATCAGACTTGCTGTTGGTAAGCAGACAAGACAACCATACTGATACATCCTGGTTTAGTATTAGCCCTGTTCTGGAAGATTATAACGTAAATCTATGAATAGGTGGCAGGAGGAGGAAACCAATCTTAGTTATAGTTGCCTTGTTGTTCCTGTCCCTTAAATTCTAAGAAATGTTTTCTCTGTGTCTCCTAACACTGAACCATTGTTGTAAGCAATATCGATCAGGAGGATGTGAGCACGAGTCTCGGATTTAGACAAATTTAGGATCGAATTCCTGCTCTGCCACTTAAAGATCATAGGTCTTGGGCAAGTAACCTCTATGTGCCCCAGTTTTCCCATCTACAAAATGGAAATAATAATATATAGTACATAGTATTATATAATATATAACATAATTATGGGGTTCTGTAAACATTAAATGAGAAATGGTTTGTTAAGAGTTAGATAATACTATGTAGTATTATTGTACTTTGTCCTTGTGTCTAATTTATTCTTTCGAATAAGTTTGGCTTTATGCTTAGTTCCTTATGCTTACAGATTCTAGGCAAACTCACCCCAAAAATACAATGACTGTGGTCAGTCATGTAGTAGCCAGATAGAGAATCAGGAAGTTGCACCAATTAACTAATTAATTAGTTCATTCACTCATTTGCTTATTCTTTCTTCCATTCCTTCAAAGTGAGTAGTAAATGCTGCGGAATAGATGAAAGAGAGGGGATCACGTTAGGAGTCCACAGCTTAAGGGAAAGACAGAAAAAAAGCAATTAGAAAGCAATGATGCTGTTTGGGAGATATGAAGAAAAAGTTATTGAAATTCATAGAGAGAACCACTTATTGGGCCTGGAGAAATCAGGAAAACTTCACCAAAAAGTAACAAAGACTGGTTCTTAGGACAGATTTAAGTTCACTAAGTTCTGGCTTAAATAGATCTTGATCTTATAGGATATTTCTGAACTAGCAGGACATTTACTAGGACTATTTGTAGATATGAGACCAGAACCTTAAACCCTACACTTGCTTACTCCAGAGCTCTAATAATGCAAGTAAAATACAAAGCATTCAAGATTAAGCTACCCCAGAATTCAATGGAATAGAATTATTTAGTTCTTTAGAAAAGTTTAACCTTTTTTGTGCGTGTGGCAGAATTTTTTTTAAGAAAGGCGTATTACTCTCTAGTTTTAGGTCCCCTGAATTGTGCACCATTTCTGAATAATCAGCAACAACCAACAGTGCTGTTATCAGTTAGATTCACAGCCCCGTGATCATATTATCTCTAGTGTGTCAGAATCCTTCACGGTGCCTACTGTCTCCTCAACTTGAGTTCAAAAAACACAGGAGTCAATTCTGCACATCTCTGTGTTTTCTAATTCCTTAAAATTGATCTTCAGACATTTTTTCCCCCAGACTGACACTAGTACTTCCAGTGTTACGGTTCTTGATTGGTTTGTTTTTCTGGAAAATACATAAATCAGTCACTGTTTTTTCCTTTCTCTGCTTCTTTATTCTCTGGGCACCACCCCACCCCAGACATACACACACAGTTTTTCAAATTGCATTCAGTCTTCCCTTTCTTAGTTGTCTACTTTTGCCTCAGGAAATTGAATATTCTTTTTTTTCACTTATTCAGTTTGGAAAAATTTACATGGAGCAAACATAGGTGCAATAGACACACACATGGAGGGATAGATTAATAGCCTGGGCTATTTAAAAACACAGGAGCTCTTTAATAGAGACCTCACCACTCATCCATAAGTTTTCTGCCAATTTCTGCTGTATTTAGTTCTTACCAAAACATTTCTGGGTGTCGGTTTTGGATTCTCTTCTTTCCACGGATAATTTCAAATCAAGCTATGTTAGAAAGTGTTTTTAGACAAACTGTGTTTTGCTAGTACACTTCTTCCCTGTGGCTGTACATGAGTTACCTGTCACTGTGTGTGTGTGTGTGTGTGTGTGTGTGTGTGTGTGTGTGCGCGCGCGCTCGTGTGTGTTTGCGCGTGTGTGCAGAGAAAGGATTAAATCACTATGGAGATGCAAACTGCCTTTTAAAATCCTTTTTCTTCTAGGTACTATCATTTTCTCTGCTTTAGGACTCCAAATCAATGAAATGGAGCCTTTTTGAAGTTGCTTTCACTGCCCCCAGAAGTTTTCAAAGACAGGCTGGCCTGGTGGTTAGAAACAGAGGCTCCCAGTCAGCTTACCTGAGTTCCCGTGCTGGTACCATCATCTGCTAGCTATGTGAATTATGACCCATTTGACTTTCTGTGACTCAGTTTTCCTATTGGTAAAGTGGGGTTGGAGCGATTAAATGAGATAGAGAGCAAGCAGTGTTTAGCCTGACAAATATTAAGCTCTTAATACATGTCATTATGATTGTTGCACAGCAGTGACATGTGAACCAATGGGGAGATACACAACAGTACAATAGAAGGCTAATCAGAAATTTATTATTTGGTGTGAAGGGGACTGATTAATCTTAGCAAGGTTTTCTTCCCCAAGTAAATCACATTCTTTCTGGAATTTGTTTTGACATTGCCTCTAACTTCTCCCTGTATGTCCATCTCTAACCACTACTGACCTTCACCTACTGCCCTGTTCCCATTCCCAGACTCGGGAGATGTCATCTGTGGCTTCTGTTTTCACACCATGACTGCAGTTGAGCTCTATTGCCTAAAATCCCTCCCAGTTTCTGCTGAAAGCGCTAACATAATTCATGTTTTCTGTACACATCTAGTAGAGATCTTAAAGCAGTCCCCTTAATTCTATCATTATCGCCTGTTCTTTGTATTTTATTGGTCCCTTTGTTCAAATGTTTAAATGCTGCATTTGGGCAATCACCTTCTGATAATTTTTCTTTCTTCCTTCACAGAAGCACAGAAATATCTTCTATACAGCTTTTTGCCAGTCAGCCATGGGCAAACCTAATATATGCTGGTTCTCAGATGGTTTGCTATGCAGCCACAGCAGGATTTATGTAGAACTTCCATACCAGTGTTGAAGATAGCCATAGTGACACCAAAGAGGTCCTTGTGGAATATACGATTAGGATGCACCACAGGAATTAATAATTTTCAGGCCACTGTTTTAAATTGTAACCACATTGTTTTTGTAAGGAAGTCACTCAGTTTATATACACAGAACATGAAGGGCTACATTCTGACCAGGGCACCAGGTTTACTTAAGATCCATATCCCAAAAGGTACTTAGATATTTCTATTGAATATGCATATGCTAATTTACTTTGAGTGACACATTGTGTTAATTTTTTTGCTAATATGATCCTCTCTGATAATTTTCTCCAACTCCTAAAACTCTAAGTGAATACAGTGAGAAACTACCATCTCTAAAACTGGTTCTTAACCTATTTTTCCTCAAAGTCAAAAATCAATGTTTTTAAAAAATAAATTTAATAATGATCCGGATTCATCATCTACTATAAAAAAAATAGCTTCATTGGACATCAAGTCACTTTTCTTCTTAGGGCTTCTCAATTAAATAGTAGTAACTCTAAAAACCTACTGCTAGTTTGCTAGATTTTAGTAGGTCAGCAAGCACACCAAAAAGTGTATTAAGGTGGACTGCTCTATTTATTGATTTTCCCTTAATCTGCTAAAAGCTCAAGGCAATTGTCTGCGGAAGGGGCGGGAGGGCCATACATGATCGAGGTCAGGCGCATCTAGCCAATTTGTAAGACGATCCCGCCGCCCTCAGCCCTCAGCAATCCTTAGCATAGGGGCACACTCATGCATTCCTGTCAAGTCATCTTGTGAAAGGCTGCCTGCTTCCAGCTTGGCTTGGATGTGCAACCTTAATAAAACTCACTGAGGTCTGGGAGAAAATAGCAGATCTGCAGCAGATAGGGCAGGGGAAAGGGTCTAGAATATGTACACGCAGCTGACTCAGGCAGGCTCCACGCTGAACGATCACACGGAGAGGAAACAATAAATCTCAGCTCCTATGCAATAAATATCTCAAGTTTTAACGAAGGAAAGTATCATTACAGTGAAATCTAAAAAAAAAAAAAAAATAACCTTTTTGAGCAAGGCTAACAAATGGCTAGTTTTCTATGATTCTTCTTCAAACGCTTTCTTGGAGGGGGAAAAAGTCAAACAAACAAGCAGTTTTACCTGAAATAAAGAACTAGTGTAAAGGTCAGAAGAAAGGAGCGAGTTTTGCGAGAGGCACGGAAGGAGAGCGCTGGCAGTACAATGACAGTTTTCCTTTCCTTTGCTTTCCTCGCTGCCATTCTGACTCACATAGGGTGCAGCAACCAGCGCCGGAGTCCAGAAAACGGTGGGAGAAGATATAACCGGATTCAACATGGGCAGTGTGCCTACACTTTCATTCTTCCAGAACACGACGGGAACTGTCGTGAGAGTGCGACAGACCAGTACAACACGAACGCTCTGCAGAGGGATGCTCCACACGTGGAACCGGATTTCTCTTCCCAGAAACTCCAACATCTGGAGCATGTGATGGAAAATTATACTCAGTGGCTGCAAAAAGTAAGTGTTTGCTTTCAGTTTCTAATCGCACGGAGCCCTTTCCTTTCTTGCACTGCCACTGACTTAGAGTTCCTTAGGGAGGCATTTGAGTGTGTTTACCTTTTGCTGGGGGGAGGGGGGGGCAGTGTTTGCAAATGCAGGGGGCTCTCTGGGTTTGACTTCCTGGGTTAGCCAGGGGGGATTCAGGCTTGTGCAAACGAATGGATGTGTGTGGTGGGAGCTTGTCTGTGTTTCTAGCACTGGGAAATTTGATGAGATCTCTGGTTTTCTCTTTTGTGAAGTTCAGCTTGGATAGTCTGCCTGTCAAAACCCAACTTTAAAAAAGAAAGCATGCCCTTCTTGAGCAAGTTGGTGTGTGGGGGGACACTGTAATGACAGTAATAATTTAGGATCAAATCGATTTTACACCAGAAATTTTTGTGCAGCTAGGATTGAAAATCACCCGTAAGTCCTTATATTTTAAATTTTAGTAAAATTAACACAAACTGAGAGTAAATACAAATTGGAGAAATTGTGTATGTAAGTAAACGGAACTGTTAATTTCAGCAAGTGGTAGAATAGTAGAGGGCTGAATTCTGTCATATAGTTCTTCTGTCCTTGAGACAAAAAACGTTCAAGAAGAAACACTTTAATGTTGACTGTCAGGTAGGGGTTGTTTGTCCAATACAAGAGGAGAAATTGAGCCAGTGTTGGCTATTCAGGAATATGTGCACCTGCAGATTTGGGCTGATCATGACATGTAGTAGGCTATGTAGTATTCAAGTACTATTCTCGGGGTATTGTAAATTCAGAGACAGTACCTGGGGAAACTAAGTATCCCCGCCCTTGATGAATGTCAGCGCTATTTATAGACATCAAATTGAACAGTTTATTCATTTATTTATCTGTAAATGATTTAAAAGTTTCCACTGAAGATATGCCTATTAAATTATGAAGACACTTCTGCAGTGTCTTTTGCTTTGTATAACTGTGTAACGGGTAAACAGCAGATAATAAGTAATTAACGGACTGTGCTACAGGAAGGGAGGCAATGTGCCCATTTGTGAAAAGCTTCTCTTCCTGGACATTTGCTAATAGATTCACGTGGTGCATATAGATAGGAACACAATCAAACTTCCTTAAGTTAGTCTGTTAAATGAGCAAACCCTTTAAGTAGATAAGAGATAGGGAAAGGACAAATGCTGCTTTTTTTGTTCCTGTGTGGTCACAATCACTTGGATCGCTGCCTGCTGAATCATGCCAAGTAATGGTGATTCTACTTTTGTCCACTAGGGACTGAACTAAGATCACTGTTATTTCATGGTACATGCTAGCTGGAACTTAGTAGTTCTACAGTTTCCAAATCTGGAATTGTAGTCAGTCTTACTATTATGGATTACAGGTCTATAATAGGTCACCAGTAGGTAGGCAGAAGACTAGAAAGCAAACAGAACTCTACAGGGTTTTTTGTTTGTTTTTTGCTTAAATTTTAGGTTCTACTTACAAGGATAGTTTATAATTTGAATATTTGGATTTTTTTCTTTGGCAAAACTTCTTTCCATGTAAACAAATTAATTTAGTTGAATAGTTTGTCAGTATTCTCAATTTACTATCCATATCGTTTTTAATGAGAATTCGGTCATTATAAATTAGTCTGGAATCTTTGAGGGGAATGAGGAGGGAAATTTAGTTCCTGATTGTCCTGCATGAGCTATTCTACAAAAATGCAATGCTTTGTTTGCTTAAAACATGCAATCTAAATAGTAATTCAAACATAGTAATGCATATTTTTTGTTGCTATGCAATTTTTCAGCAGTGACAGGGTAAACACAATTCTGCTGGGATTAAATCATACACGTTTCATATGCTAATATATTTTGTGAAATACATTTGATTCTTGTTTGCATTGTTCTTGGTCAATAATTATGGGATAGCTTTCAGGTTATAGCCAAGAATAACTATTATAATGCTCTTTGGTTACAACAACTCTTTTAAGTGTGAAAATCAAGCTGAATATAGACTGAAAATGTCCCTATTGGTATGAGTCAGAGCAGTTTGGCTTGGCTATTGTCGATTTAAATTTGCATATCTTTTGTCATGGTTAATGTGATTGGTTGGAGGATCAAGAAACCAAATAAATGCATTCAGCTGAGATCTTGCTAAAGGCATTCCTAAGTTTCCCATAATTAGAGATTTTCTTCACCCCAAATTCTAAAACTTCATGTGATATATTTAATTCGATAACTGAAATGGAAATCTTTTTTACTGTATCCATTTGGTATGCTTAATACTGGAATTTATATTACTTCTGTTTGATTCTAGTTGCTATAGAAAGAAGCAATGCACTGCAGAAACTGTGTATGGAAGTGAATTTTATTCATCCATTTATTCAGCAAATAATTGATCAAAGCACAGTGATTACCATGCAACTGATGGCATTACTATCAGGAAAGTTTTTGATGCAGAATAAACATGGTGTTTTATCAATGCTACACGAGGCTAGATGATAGTTATGTTAATCTGTTCCCTTCCATGAAGATTAGGAAACTGGAGTCTCAGATATTCTTCACAAGGCTCTGGCTATCACTAGAAGTTTTTTTATGGGACAAACTCTCAAGCTTCATTCCTCAACTTTTCTGGTCTTGCAACTGAACAGGATGAGACACAAGGTACGCAAAAGGACAATTGATTTGCAGGTCACCATAAATATTGGAACTGTTATGGCACTAATATTTTCACATAATGGATTTAATTCAAAGAGATCAATTTTCCATAATAATTTATTGATTCTTATGAGGTCTGTTGATAGCATTATCCTGACTTCTCAGACAGGAAAGAGTGGAATAATAATAAGCCCTCCAAAATAATAATTTTGTTGGGTGAAACACTTGTGCACGTGTTTGGGTCTGACTTTCCTATTAACTAGCTCTTTCATATTTATTAGCAAGCCATACCAAATACCTGAGAGTGACTGGATCCTGGGTAAGTAACAATAAATACAACTTTGCCACTTTCTTGTTATCACTTATTTTTTTATGACAGAAAAATATATGGACTAATGTTTAGCCTACATCCTGTGCTTTTTGAACTTTTTCTGTCTCCTACATTTCAAAAGATCTCAAAAATGTATATTTAGAATACTTAAGTTTACATATATATATAATGTTCTAGAATTTGGGAAATCCTAAAAGTTTGCTTTGCTTTTGCCAAATGATGTCTTTTCTTGGTTGGAAGTTTAAGCAAACAGGTCAAAAACAAGCCTAGTAACAAAACAAGAGCCTATCTACTAAAATATGATTATTAATAAAAATGTAGTTCTGAACTGACATCCAGAATATTTTAAGATATGAAAATGTTTTACTGGTATGCTTGGCTAAGTTTTTCTATAGACAGCATTTTTGTTTAAGGACATCGTCTATTTGTATATTGTATTCTTTGCTTCAGAGAGTTAAGATTTGGGATGCAGCCGGGCTTGTTGGCTCAGCCTGCAATCCCGCGCCTTTGGGAGGCTGAGGTGAGTGGATTGCCTGAGCCTGCGGGTTCGAGACCCACCTGGGCAGCAAGACCTCATCTCTACAATAAATCAAAAAATCAGCCGGGCGTGGTAGCGTGCGCCTATAATTCCGGCTACTTGGAAGGCTGAGGCAGAAGGATCGCCGGAGCCCAGCAGGTCGAGGCTGCGGTGGCCGGGAGCGGCCACTGCACTCCAGTCTGGGCGACAGAGTGAGACTCCAACTCAAAAAAAAAAAAAAAAAAAAAGATTTGGGATGCTATTACTTGAAACACTTTGATAATGATTATTTTTTAAACCCATATATTGCATATGCTAACCCATATTAACATCCACTAGAATATGACCTTCATGAGGCCAGTGACCTTATGTGCTTGTCCACTGTTATATTCCCAGGGCCTAAAACAGTATATGGTATATACATAGCAGATATACAATAAATATTTGTTAAACAAATAATTGAATGCATTGTCTATATATTGCAATCTGCATTTTGCTGTCAACTATTAGCATTTTGTTTGGCATATACATCTGACCTCCTAAATTAATTATAAGTTGTCATATAGGCAAGGACTATATCTATGGTTATTCTTATCATAATATTAATTAAAATGATATTGGGTCCAGAGTAAGTGATTATTAATTACTTAAATAATATTTAGCCAATGATCTAGTATCTCAGAAACTTCTGTAGTCACCTCATTTTATCCTTTTAATTATTCTTGAAAGATCAGCTTTGTTGTCAATTTCTCCAGGAATTCTACCCACACTCCACTTCCCCTCTCAAGCAGAGTTCTCTAATGTTATCACAGTACATTGCCTGTGTCATGTTAGCATTGTACTGCTATGTTGCTGCAGTGGCTATTGTTTTAATTATTTGTTTCTAGGTCTGTTTTTCTTCCTAGACTGTGAGTCTCTCAAGTTCAGCGAATATCTCTCATCTGTCTTTATATTTCTGAACATGTTTATTAAGTGTCTGAATAACATCTCTGTAATCATAATTAAAAATTTAAAAGTCAAGTGCTCAAGTATGTGGCACTGAGTATAAAATAATGCGAATTAAGGGATCTTGTAATCATTTTAAGTTGCCAAAATTTGCTTAAATGTTATCTTTAGGTTACTTGAGGGTCAGCTAGATCTTCTTTGGTTCAAACATTCTTTGTATTTTCATATAAGCACAAGAAATTAGTATTGCCATATCAGTGGGGAACCATTTATTGCATACATTTATAGTATACATTTATTGTATACTATAGTATACATTTATTGTACACTTATATACAATATGGGCACATGTGTATGTAAGTAACTCACTTTTCCCCTGTGTAGTATTGGTTTAGTGACTGGTGCAGCAGAAAGTCAAAGATGACGCTCTTAGGTTTTATTTTCACAAGTGGGGAAATTTCCTAAAAGTGTGAAATGGGTAGACAGTCAATAAGCATATTTTATAATATATTGTCACTACGTGAAGACAATATACATATATAATTTATGAATAGAGATTGGGGAA